AGCCTAAATTATTTTCGACATCCTAAATTATTTTCGACATCCTAAAATATATTCGGCATACTAAAATAATTTTTGCATCCTAAACTATTTTCGATACCCTAAATTATTTACGATTTAGACTGTCTAAAAGCAATTTAGCCATTTTTATTTATGCCAATAGAAAAATAATTTAGACACCCATGTATAGTTTCGCCCAAGGTCCCAAGTCCGAAATGTCCGAAACTGGGCGAAACGTCCGAAACGTCCGAAATGTCTGAAACTGGGCGAAACTGGGCGAAACGTCCGAAATGTCCGAAACTGGGCGAAATGTCCGAAACTGGGCGAAACGTCACAACCTAGCATGACCACCAAGATCAGTTATGTACAGAGTTTCAACGATTAATATGACGATTTCTGTATATAAATATCAAAAAAAATTTTTTTGCTACGGCCTAAACTGAAACTTTCGGCTAGGCGAAACTGGGCAAAACGTCCGAAACTGGGCGAAACGTCCGAAACTAGGCGAAAAGTCCGAAACTGGGTGAAACATCCGAAACTGGGCGAAACTAGGCGAAACTGGACGAAACTTGATCTTATCTCTATCAAAACCAACTTAGCACGTGACGCAGACTTTGATATGACGATTTCTAAAAATCACATGATCTCTGCACTTAAAATCGACAATGAAAATTTTAAGTGCAGAGATCACGTGATTTTTAGAAATCGTCGTATCGAAGTCTGCGTCACGTGATAAGTTGGTTTTGATAGAGATAAGATCAAGTTTCGTCCAGTTTCGCCTAGTTTCGCCCAGTTTCGGACGTTTCGCCCAGTTTCGGACATTTCGCCCAGTTTCGGACATTTCGCCCAGTTTCGGACGTTTCGGATTTTGGGCGAAACCGAAACTCAAAATCCGAAACGTTTCGGACTTGGGTAAAGGGTTTAGGCCGTAACACTAATATGCGTTAAATGACATATCGGCCTTTTATTACATTTAGTGAATATATGGAGTGTAAAAAATATCTGGTATTTATGGCATAAATTGATTATGAATGTAAATAAACCATTTATTATAAATAAAGGGCATTTCTGCCCAGAAGAGAAGAATAATGATCCCTTCCCTTAAACAAACAAATTCTCTAATAACAATAAATACCCGCCTCCTAATAAAAGTGAAATTATCACCATATACAAACTAATAAACTATCGTTAATCCCACTGTTATCCCTATCATTCACCAATAAACCAAACTCGCCGTTGATCGTTCGCTGCAAGACACGTGACCGGAAAGCCGTTGACACCAGCGAACGGCGTCGGTGTTTCGGTCGCTTCTCAAACGGATATGTCATGTAACCTACGAACGGCTTAGTCGATAAGAGGCGATTAGATTTGGCGAGTGGTGTGTTTATGATCGTAGGTATTATTATAACAACAGTAGGATGTTTATTATTAGGGGACGAATTCTATTTGAATCACGAATACTCTATCCATCTCTTCATAGGGCTCAAGGCCTTTATTATATACTTTCGTTTACATAGGGCATGTTATACATTCGATTCATGATACATCGCTTATACTACTTATAACGTCTATACTAATTATATTGACGATAATGTTTATATCAATGATATCGATCATATTGTTTATATTGATTATAATGTCTATATCACTGATACTAATTATATTCTCTATACCCTATATCCCTCTGATACCCCTTATTGTGCTGATACCTATTATTAGTCCGATGCATAAGATATATAGCATACAGCGAATACAGTGTATACTACATATACCTATTTCAGGTATATGATCTACATACCCATCTGTATCACTTCGATCACCTCCTTCCAGAATCACAGTCCTACGGCTCACATTCCTCCCCAACTCAAGGTCGAGTTCCACGAGACAAAGTCAAATAATGGGAAACAAGTTTCCACCAGGATCGAATGTCATCGAGGCCGATTGAAGCAGAGATAAGTACCAGGGCATTCCTTTGTCGTTTATGATTCTTCATTCCACCTTTAATGCCATTATTCTTTTTTTTGTTTTAGGTCCATTTTCCAATACAGTAATCATTTCTTCAAGGGCCAATTTCGAAATCTTTATGACAGCTTTTCTTTTTGTAACATCGTGTTGTTGGTCACATGATTTCGGGTGTGTTTCGTCAAACTTTTTCAATTTTACTGTTTCATTCATTATCACTTTAAATTTTTCTACTCTTTTATTCCAATCATTACAGGCATCTTCAAGACTTCTGAAATCTAATGATTTTAGTCTTTCGATCTTCTTCCATTTTTCAGTTTCTTCTTCAGCAATGATTGTCTTTCTATCGTCATCGTCGTCATTATCATTGTCGTTATCACCATCGTCGGCTTCTTCAAGGCTTACAGGTACATTGTTTTTTTCTTTTTCAATATTTAAATTTGCAGATTCTTCATAATATCTACATGTTTTACATTCATCTTTTCCAATTCCATTTTGATGACAACAGCCAACATTATACGCACCATTAGCATTACCCATATCAGCAGAGTTTCGATAATAAATGAAGGCTTTCTGTCTATTCTTTTTGACACCCATTCCATCTTGATGGCTATGTCCAACATTATCTGTAACAACAGAAGAGCCTGACTCGCATGGTTGCAGGTGGTTATCGTAGGGATGTATTCGTCCTTTTCAACTTCAATTCCATGTTCATAACAATAACCGATGTCAAAAGTACTTTCCATATCAGTGACTTTTTGAAAGCATTTGATTGCTTTTTGATCGTCTTTATCAATTCCAATTCGTTTGTCCTTTTCGACTCCAATACGTTCATCCTTTTCAACTTCATTACATTCATCTTTTTCATCTCCATTTTGTTTGCCTTTTTCAACTCCAATTCGTTTGTTCTTATCTTCTTCAATCTCAGTTCTATCATCATCTTCATCTCATATTATATTATCATCATTGTCATCATTGTTATTGTTGCCATCATCAGCTTCATCATCAGGCTCGAATTTCTTTTTTGCGATTCTAGTAGGCCTTCCAAATGCTTCCTTCTTATCTTTTGTATCTTCAAGTTTTTGATTATGCAGGTGTGCTTCATGTCTTTCTTTTTTGACCTTGATTCCGTTGTTTTTATCCTTTTTAACTTCGATTCCTTTTTTATAGTGATATCCGATGTCAATAGTTCCATCATCATTTTCCATATCAGCAGCTTCTTGAAAATATCCGAACACTTTATGTCCATCTTTTTCAACTCCAATTCCATTTCGATGATGGTCACCAATATTCGTCACATCTTTCTCAGCCTTGGCAGGTTCTTTTTCACTAAGTCCTTCTTTCTTTTTTTCAATGCCACTCTCTGGCAGAGACTCTAGGACTTCTTCCAGGTCCACTTTCGTATGCAAGCTTCATATTTGGTAACTAATTGTCGAAGAAGGTGTTCCAAATCGAGAGGTTCTTCTGTGGATTCGTCAGAGTTGTCATAGGCATCAGGTACTATATGCATTTGTTGCTGAGGCTTCGATGGGATTTTCGGTGTGAGAACTACAAAGACGGGTTCTTCTTGGGCAATTTCTTCCTCTTCGTAATTGTTTCTACAATCTATGCTGATGTCTTCTAATATCTTCAATAAGATTTCCAGGGCTTTGGGAATCTGTCTTTCATCAATGGTTCGGGCTCCAAAGATTTCATTAACCATTCTTTGGACCTTCCGGGCTTGTTCGTTGGTGAGTGCTTCAAATAAGGCTGTACATTTCTGTTCCAATGCTATTACATCTGGGCATTTACTAACAATATGATTTCTTTTCTTACAATAGGAGCACCAGGCTTCTTCTTGAAGGCTTCTTTGGGTCCGTTCATGGTATGAGACTTGCTGAAGGCGGGTCTTTTTTGCTTGGGCTTTCATTTTCTCTGGTCTCCAGTATGTCGGGTACGTTCTATACATTTCTTTCTTATTCTTTGTTTTGGGTACTAATTCTTTTACTAATTTTAATCGTCTTTCTTATTTTATTGACACGTCATGCTATCGAGGTACTAAGTCTTCTTCTACAGTCCAGCTGTTCTTGGATGTCGAATCTCACAGTCACCACCAAAATGACACCAGCGAACGGTGTCGGCGTTTCAGTCGCTTCTCAAACGGATATGTCATGTAACCTACGAACGGCTTAGTCGATAAGAGGCGGTTAGATTTGGCGAGTGGTGTGTTTATGATCGTAGGTATTATTATAATGACAGTAGGATGTTTATTATTAGGGGACGAATTCTATTTGAATCACGAATACTCTATCCATCTCTTCATAGGGCTCAAGGCCTTTATTATATACTTTCGTTTACATA